GCAAGTTTATTGTGCGAGTCCTGTAATAATAATTATTTTTAAAACGTGTGACAAATTATAAAACAAACGGTCTAAAAAATATGCTGTCAACCGGTTTTTCCAAAGAGAAGACAGATATATCATTACGTTGAAACCATAAACTTAATATAGGTACTTCGATAGAGAGAACTTTATGGTTTAGACCAAGTCTTACTTTTTTAGCCCACGTTTTGTAATACAGTACCTCTAGCTCGAACCATTATCAAATTCGAATAGTTTGCAAACCGCAATGTCAATGTCTTGTATGAAAACTTGAAAATTAACGCTATATCGTACGTAAAGATAACTAAAAATCAGTACACATTTGACAATAACATTTCTTACTCGCAAACGATACGAATTCGATATTCGTTCGTGCTAGGGGTACTGTACCCTAAGCACAAACCCATATTGAATTCGAATAGTTTGTGAGTCCGAAATATCACTGTCAAATACTGATTTTTAGTTCTCGTTACGTGCTTTGTGGCGCTCCATACAAAATTTGACACTGACATTTCGGACTAGCATACTATTCGAGTACTGGAGAAAATGTAAATTTTTCGAAGAAACAAGAGAATAACCAAATTGTACAATACAATGTATCTAGCTGATAGCTTAGTTATTTATTTTATAATTGAATGTTTAATTTAAAAACCTATTTATACTTTTATTAAGGCTAAACTGCGTGTATCTTGTATGTAATGTAAAAATAATTTAATTGTATAAGACTCGCATGTTTTAAATAGTGTAATGGTATTATTTTATTAAATCGAAAGTGTGTTGTTAATTTGAAATGGTGTTTTATTTTAAATTACCCATGAACAACCACGCGATCATTTAGTGAACTATTCTAAAGCTATATATATATATATAACTCAAAGATGACTGACTGCCTGACATAGTGATCTATCAACGCACAGCCCAAACCACTGGACGGATTGGGCTGAAATTTGGCATGCAGGTAGATGTTATGACGTAGGCATCCGCTAAGAAAGGATTTTGATCAATTCTACCCCTAAGGGGATAAAATAGGGAATGAAAGTTTGTATGAAACTGTCAATTTTAAACCGATCATAGATGAATGTCATTGTGTGTAATACAAGCCTGAGAACAAAAACTGTAGGTAGTCTGCACTTCAGCTCTACACCGAAGCGAAGCGAGGGCGGGCCGCTAGTAAATTTTTTTTTAAAGCTATCACTTCGTCACTTCCATAGTAAACTTACGAATTTGAATTTCATAAAATCAACTACGCCAAAATATTGTATATTAATTGGGTAAGTTTACTTTGGGTGTATAAACATCAAATGCAGATTCAAACAATCAGGCTTTTGGAACCCTCATTTATAAAATTGTGTGACTTTTCCCTGGTGTTAAGTACCCTATTGTGTGCAGTTTTTTATTATAGATTTTTACTAAAAAAGGATCACGTTGTGTGTGTACGTGCATGGAGCATAAATGTTTGGCCAGGCAAGCAAGTCAAGTTAGTGTAAGGACTTTGGTTGCTTTACATTTGGCTCATCATCATCAGCCTATTAAGGTCCCCACTGCTGGGGCACAGGCCTTCCCTATGGATGGAATAGGGAGATTGGACAATGACCCACCATGTGACCCCAGTGCTGATTAGAGGGTGTTAACGATTGCAGATGCAGCCGGGACCAACGGCTTAACGTGCTTTCCTAAGCACGGAGGAACTCGAGATAGTAAAGTTTTGGTCACCCATCATCGTCGGTCCTTCGACCGCCCACTGCAAAAGTCATCGGGCTCCATCATACATTTGACTACATTCTTAATAATATCTGTGGGGGGGGGGGGGGGTTATTATCATCTAGTAAAATCCAATGTATTCCACCTGACTAAATTCAGACGTCCTAGTTAGGATCCAATAAGAAAGCTAATAGTGGTCGGTCATTGGATGGGTGACCAAATATTACTATCTCGAGCTCCTCCGTGCTTCGGAAGGCACGTTAAGCCGTTGGTTCCGGCTGCATCTGCAGTCGTTAGCATCCACCAATCCGCACTGGGCCCGCGGTGGGTCATGCCCAATCTCCCTATTCCATCCATAGGGAAGGCCTGTGCCCCAGCATTGGCGACATTAATAGGCTGATGATGATGATGATGAAGAAAGCTAATTATAAGCTTCTGATTACACTTGACTAATTTAGTTACTGATTCAGTCAGTAGCAAGCGCGCGGCGAATTCATTCGGAATTTTTCGTAATGGCTCCAGTCCTGTCAAAGCAACATAAAATCTATCTTCTCGTAGGCCTGGCCGTTGGCTCAATAAAAATAAAAGAAAGTAAAAAACGAAAAACATGGATGAAAGAATATTGATACTATTAATGTATTTTTTATCGTTTTTGTTTCAAAGACACCTCGTATCTTTATACAATTCGATTATGTTACTCATAACTTCTTTTTCTTTTGCCGCAGACATCGCACACTCGCGTAATTCGTAATCGTATAATGCGATTCAAATAAGAATAGGAAAGCCAATGACCTCTATCTGTCAAATGTCGCTTGAAAAGTACGGTTTGCAAAAAAAATCTTGGGATCCTTTTTTAGCACTCCGCTAATTCAAGAATAAAAAAAAACATTTTGTAAACAAACAATAACAAATATTGATAATTAATATCGGTTGATATTTTTTCTCACTTATTGAGCTTTGGCCATGAATAGTTGATAACCTAAATCGTCAACCAAATGTCACTTTAAGTTGCATTCAGAAACTCGATTTCAAACTTTCATTTACATAAAGGATGCATGTTCGTATGTAACCTAGTAATAGTGCATGATTATTCATAACTTCTCCGGCGGTAATGCAGAGATGAGCGGAATAGAAGAGCTATATTCTGATTAATGTTTTTCATTTAATTATTAAAAATCTGTGTTTTTTTCTCAATTATAGTAAATAGGTAAATGTTATTAAAAAAATCAGATGCTTTTTCTCACTTAACCTTAGTAAATAAGTTTTATTAAATAGCAAAATTTTTTTGCTCACTCTACCTCTTTGGTTTGAATTGACAGCTATGACATCACAATATGGCGCCCAGTCGGTCCTATTCTTGGTTAAATCGCATTATAGACACAATAACGTCTTCACGCAGTGTAGCCTTCTGTGCGAATGAAGCATCTAAACCTTATCACACGTTCCTAAATCGCTTTCTAATTAGGATACTAAATGGTTTAGCTGACTAAACTAGTAGACAGAAGCTACACTTCTTCAGATTAAGGATGCTAATTAGGATCCTAACTTCCTAAGTGCTTTTTCACTTGAATGAATTAGTTACTGAATGAGTTAGAACAGGGACGGCAAACCAATGGCACGCGTGCCCTGAATAGCACGTGACTCAATATTTTGGGCACATCACTGATCACATAATTCATTATGCACTTATTACGTAACTTCTATTAGAAATAGTCCCCCTTTTCACCCCCCTTTAAGGATGTTTTAGGGATAAAACTATCGTAATTATGTTCTTTAGATCTGAGTCGATTCAGCGATTTGAGCGTGGTAAGGTATACAAACAGACACACTTTTGCATTTATCATATTAGAGTGGAAGTATGGGTTCTTATTTTCCCAATAATTACAGAGTCAAAATTATTTAATGGCACGTCTATGACCTCATTAAACATTTTTTTAGGAAAGTAACACGTTGATCGTAAAGGATCTCTGATTTAGAACGTCTGAATTTAGTCAGGTGGAATACTCGCTTAACAACTGATGCAAGCGGAACCAACGGCTTATCTTAATAGAGGAGAGGAGAGAGAGATAATAATTTTTGTTCGCCTATCCAGCCAGCGATTAGTGTCGCCGCACACGGGCCACACGCCACAGCCACAAACGCCACCACGAGAAGCTAGAAGCGGCTACTAAAGTGGCTGAAGCGCGCGACAGCGGCCGACTAAGGTAAGGGAGAGAGGGGTGGGGAATCGCGCGAGTGACGTGTGGCGGCGCATTAAGTGGCCGGTGCGGGCCACAAGAAGCGAGCAACGACGATTTGTAGCGTGTGGCGGCCACCGGCGTACCGTGTGTGGCGAGTCCAAATAAAATGTATGAAAACTACAAGAAATATGCCGGTGGCGACGTTTTGTGGTTGTGGTCGGTGGCCCGTGTGCGGCGACACTTAAGCGTATGGCCCGCATGATGGAAAGCGGCCACCATAGTCTAGAGACATTTGCAATAGCTATCACTCGCGGCTTGCCTACCGTGACCCCAACCCCTACCCCGTGGAGCCCTGGAACTTTACTCACTGACAGTAACACAACACCACCTAAAGGTAGTGTTGTAAGGTGGAGGTTTCCTCCCCAGACGGACGCTCCAAAAATGTATGAAGCAAAAATGTATGGAATCAAATAATTCGTTACCTTTAGTGTCGCCGCACACGGGTCACACGCCACAGCCACAAACGTCGCCACGAGAAGCTAGAAGCGGCTACTAAAGTGGCTGAAGCGCGCGACAGCAGCCGAATATGGAAAGGAAGAGAGAGGGGTCCAGAGGGGTCGCGCGAGTGACGTGTGGCGGCAAATTAAGTGGCCGGTGCGGGCCACAAGAAGCGAGCAACGACGATTTGTAGCGTGTGGCGGCCACCGGCGTTCCGTGTTTGGCGAGTCCTATAAAATGTATGAAAACTACAAGAAAGATGCCGGTGGCGCCGTTTTGTGGTTGTGGTCGGTGGCCGGTGTGCGGCGACACTTAGACTGTTAATTGAACACTATACCCTGCCTGCGCCTCGCGCTTCGCGCTCTCATAATGAAATGCGCAACTGTGTAAAAAAGGTTTTTCAGTCATGCAATTTTTGTTACTGCTGATGACTTAGGCATTTCTTATCATTGAGCATTAATTGACCTAATAGATAAGTTATATGAACTCAAGAATTGTAATATCAGCTTTTTATGAGGTTAGCATAAGTCGAAACAAAACATACTGGGACGTAAAAATAGGTTTATTAAATATTACACATAACAATACATCTAGCTAAGTTTAAAATTTAACCATCATCATTTGAGTGCCGTAATTCCTGTCCTGAACCGTGATCTTCGCCTGGGAGTAGAAACCGATCTCAATGGTTTCCCTGGAGACCAGGCTGTTGCTGATGCCACCACTGTTCATGACTCCTTCAATGTCCAACGACCAGAAATGATGCCCTTTGTAAGGTTTGGAGTAGTTGATGGCCGTGTCTCCGGACAAACTGGCTTCGTACTCCACTTCTATCTTTATGGTGCCTTTGGTTGCGTGCAGTTGAGCGATCACCGACTGTCCTGACTCCAGAAGGATGTCCATAGCCGAGGAAGCTCCGACGGTAACGGTTTCCGACTTCTCGGTGTTCCTACCCCAGGAGTGAGTGTAGTCTATTGTCGAGGTACCACCAACTTTGGCTACTTTGAGGTCGACTTTGTAGCTGATCTCTTGACCGATGGACAAGCTGCGCCCCTTGCTCCACGACGAGGAAACAGTGTTAGCAACTTCTTGTGAGATGCCCACGTTGAATGTCGCAGGTTTGGAGCTGTTGTTCTCGAAGACTTGTTGCATGACGACAGTTGGTTGGGAGACAACGCCCAGGATAGTGGCTTTCTTGGGGATTAAGGTCCTGGTGACTTGTTGCCATCCGTAGCGTTGGTAAAGGTCGCTCCAGGGTGTAGGGCTGCGGAGGTAAGCGTCATCAGGACGTTTGCCGAAGTATGAGCGCACGGCGTCTTTCAGGCTTCCGTCTCTCACGTTGAAAGTCTCTCGTTCGGTGTCGGTGATGATGCCGACATCCTCGCCTGACAGGTAGACCTGCATGTTAGGGTCCTGTGCGTCGAATTCGCCGGACAACTCGACGTGTATTCTGGCGACGGCCAGCGCCGGCAACAGGAGAACTATGAATCGTAACGCCATGTTTTTCCCTGTAACACAAAATAATTTGAGTTTAATTATTCAAGGAGCTTCTGGTAGGAAAACAAGGAATCTTCGGGACACTATCGGGTTGATACAATGAATTTACATTTTACTCATACTTAATATCAGATGGGCTAAAGTAAATTACTATAAATCCCAAAACAACTTAGAGTACCTACGATTTTTCAAACATTTGGTCAGAAACAATGAAAATACTGTTAACGCCCAGACTCAAGACAAAAGAGAGACAGGGATTGAACAAGAGTCCTCAGAAATAGCGAATTCGTAGCCTTCGAAGAATGGGACAAAGAAAAACGACCACGCAGGCCCTGTGTGGATCGATGGGCCTGGAATAACAGGAATCCATTAAACCTAATGTGATGATATGACTTACTTGTGTTGAAGCAGAAAGATTCGAAACCGTTTAGTGTTATTCAACGATTAACGAATGATTAGACCGAATACTTTGTTAGGTTTTTATATTATTCCTCATGTAGTAGTCATGTTTGAGAACTGGTCATAATATAATAAATTACTGGTTTTGTAGGCTAAGATTTTATAAAGTATTAAATATGTATGTTCTAAATAGTAATAAGATATGTTATTCGAATATTAATTCCAATCTATATTTTTAAGAATGGGCACAGTCCATTATCTGTAATAATTGAAATTTCGTCTGTATCCTCATATTATACGTATATGTAAATCGTACCATATTACAGACAGAAATATCAGCATAATTATCAGTCCATTAATCTCGGCGATCAGGGGTTTTCGGTTTGCCAACCAATGACCAGCCATCGCTTCGCTCAACCATATTTTAGGGAACGTAACGATCCGCCTTACACACCAGCTTTTAAAGAGGTTAGAATAAGTCGAAACAAAACTTACTGGGACGTAAAAATAGGTTTATTAAATATTACACATAACAATACATCTAGCTAAATAATCGTTTAAAATTTGACCATCATCATTTGAGTGGCGTAATTCCTGTCCTGGACCGAGACTGACGACTGGGAGTAGAAACCGATCTCAATGGTTTCCCTGGAGACTAGGCGGTTGCTGATGCCACCACTGCTCATGACTGCCCCAACGTCCAACGCCCAGAAATGATGCCCTTGGTAAGGACTGGAGTAGTTGATGGCCGTGTCTCCGGACAAACTGGCTTCGTACTCCACTTCTATCTTTATGGTGCCTTTGGTCGCGTGCAGTTGAGCCATCACCGACTGTCCTGGCTGCAGAAGGATGTCCATAGCCGTGGAAGCTCCGACGGTAACGGTTTCCGACTTCTCGGTGCTCTCTCCCCAGGAGTTAGTGTAATCGATGGACGTGCTACCACCACCGCTAGCTACTTCGATGTCGAAACTGTAGTTGATCTCTTGACCGATGGACAAGCTGCCACCCTTGCTCCACGACGAGGAAACAGTGTTAGCAACTTCTTGTGAGATGCCCACGTTGAATGTCGCAGGTTTGGAGCTGTTGTTCTCGAATATTTGTTGCATTACGATAGTTGGTTGGGAGACGATGCCCAGGATAGTGGCTTTTTTGGGGATTAAGGTCCTGGTGACTTGGCTCCATCCATAGCTTTGGTAAAGGTCGCCCCAGGGTGTAGGGCTGCGGAGGTAAGCGTCATCAGGGCGTTTGCCGAAGTTCGCGCGCACGGCGTCTTTCAGGCTTCCGTCTCTCACGTTGAAAGTCTCTCGTTCGGTGTCGGTGATGATGCCGACATCGTTCCCTGACAGGTAAACCTGCATGTTAGGGTTCTGTGCGTCGAATTTGCCGGACAACTCCACGTTTATTCTGGCGACGGCAAGCGCCGGTAACAGGAGAACTATGAATCGTAACGCCATGTTGTTCCCTGTAACAAAAAATAATTTAAGATTAGACAGGAATAAATAAGTTGAGTTTAATAATTCTGGTAAGAAAACAAGGAATCTTCGGGAAACTATCGGGAGATACAATGAATTTCCATTTTACTCATATTTAATATTATGTGGGCTTAAGTAAATTACTATAAATATCAAATAACTTAGGGTACCTACGATTTTTAAACACTTGTACAGAAAGAACGAAAATACTGTGAAGATAAAAGAGAGAGGGATTGAACAAGAGACCTAAGAAATTGCGAATTCCTAGCCATCCGAAGAATGGGACCAAGAAAAACGACCACGCAGGCCTAGTGTGGATTGATGGGTCTAGAATAACAGGAATCCATCAAACCTAGTGTGATGACATGACTTACTTTTTTTAATGCAGAGAGATTCGAAACCGTTTAGTGTTATACAACGATTAACGAATGATTATACCGAACACTATGCTAGGTATTTATATTATTCCTCATGTAGTAGTCATGTTTGAGAACTGATCATAATATAATAAATTACTGGTTTTGTAGGCTAAGATTTTATAAAGTATTAAATATTTATCTTCTAAATAGTAATAAGATATGTTATTCGAATATTAATTCCAATCTATATTTACACGCATAAGCTCGGTCTTTCACAAAAATGTAATATTTCTTCAGTCGAGACACCACCTGTTCATCAATTAATTTCATTGATGTTTTTAGTGTTGGACAATTTCTTAACAATAATCAAGAACATAGGTTTTCCTATGGAGGCTAGACATCAAATCAATATTCTTGAATACATATAAACATGAGTCTTACGATAATACACGTGTTCATTACAAACTATGAGCGGTTATGAGTACAAATTTGTTTTTTTTTTATATTAAGGTAAGCAAATGACTCTACTCCACCTGATGTTAAGTGGTAATAAAGTCCAAACGCGAAGATAGCTGGTACAGCAGTTATAAACCGCTACACCAATCATCCTCACCTTGCCGGCCTGCAAAAATGCTTCTTCACGCCTCTCTTAAAGGACCTCAGATTATAGGAAGGAGGGAACACTTGCGCGGGTAAAGAATTCCACTTACGAATAGTACGACAAAGAAATGAGTCACCAAATTTCTTTGTTCGTGTAGGAATAGTGGCCACAGTAAGTCGGTGGCAACGTTGTTTTAAAAGAGGACATTTTGTCAACAGATAATAATAACAATTAATCCCTGAATAAATAACGAAAGTGCACATAAAATGGGATCGCTCAGACCCGGCAAACTACCGGTCAATAGCAGTCACCTCAGTATTATGTAAAGTCCTAGAAAAGTTCTTTAACAGCCATCTGACCCGCTACCTAAAGGATCACTCCCTGATTAATGATTGTCAATATGGTTTTAGAACGAAAAGATCGACGGGTGATCTTCTAGTGTACTTGACTCATATCTGGGATAAGGCTTTCGACAAGCGTAGCGAGTCACTGGCTATCTGCCTTGATTGCCAGGCGTTCGACAGGGTCTGGCACAATAGCCTTCTCTTCAAGCTTGCGGCCAAACAAGCATACGGTCTGCTGGCCCAGTTCGTTCTTGGGTAGCTGACTTCCTGCATGAATCATGAATAGGCGATGAGGAGGTGACTAAACACCTCGAGCCTCTTCAATTACGCCGTGATGTGGCGTCACTAAGCGCGTTCTATCGTCTGTACCACAGCGAGTGCTCTGAGGAGTTTTTCTGTTTTATTCCACCCTCCCCTTTCCTTCAGAGGACCACGCGCGCTGGCTTACGCTGTCACCGTCTAAATGTGGCCACAATTCCAACGCGTACAAAGAAATTTGGTGACTCATTTCTTTGTCGGACTATCCGTAAATAGAATGCTCTGCCCGGTCACGTGTTTCCTCCCTCTTACAACCTGGGATCCTTTCAAAAAGGCGTGAAGAAGCAACATGCAGGTCGGCAGGGTGAGGACGGCTGGTGTGGCAGGTAGAACTGCTGTATTATCTTCACATTTGGACTTCACCTTCACTTAACATCAGGTGGGGTGGAGCCATTTGTCGGACCTATCTATAAAAAAAAAGTTCCCGAGAAGGTGCAGTGTAGTGCGGTCACCGGGAAGGTATTATCTGTGTGATAAGACAGTAGCTTGTATATTTTATGATTTTCCCACAGCCAGTTAATATAATATTTACGCGTGTGTTTTAAAATTCAATACAACCAGGAGTTTGATGGCGCAGGTGGTTCTGCGTTCGTGGATATTAAACAACTTTCGGAATGGTCAGTCATTGGATCGGTGAGTAAAAACTTATTGTCTTGAGCTACTTCGTGCTTCAGAAGGCACGTTAAGCCGTGGTCTCGGCTGCATCTGGTGTCTTTAGTCCGAAAACGTCAATCTGTATTGGGTCCGAGTGGTAGGTCATGGCCCAATCTCCTTTTTCCCAGTAGCACCTTTAATGAATGAATCAGAACTTTTAATTGAAAATATTTTGCCATTATTTGGACATGAGATCAAAAAATAAGTGAATCATGAAATTGTCCGAATCGAAAGCACTGACTGCGACATTTATTCATTCGTAGTTCAATGAGCAATCAGTATTTATTTATTGAAAAGTAATATTTTGTGGAGAAAAATCGTTGGAATAAGCTAAAATTATAATTTTAATAACACGTTAGTTTAAGTAGAGCATGCGATATTGCTTAGAAAGACTTTTGTGGCAAACTGATGTTTGTGCAATCACAGAAATATGAAGACATACCAACGATAACTAAAGCTAAGCTAAGTTTTTTAGACAGGTCATTGACCATACCTAGCATTATAATAATTTATAAATTTTACTGGTAAAGAAGTCACGTGCAAGAAAGTAATCTTTTATTCGTACATGTTTTCTAGATAATCAAAGGTGTATCACACTAATATTGTAAATGTGATAGTTTGTATGTTTGTTACTCAATGACGGAAAAACTACTTAATGTATTTGGATGTTTTTTACACATATAGTTTATGACGAACCAATATCGAATTCGTAACGTTTGCGAGTCCGAAATGTACTTTCCTTTTTTTTTATACGCAGGCAAAAAATACTGTTTACAGACGACGGCGCCTTTAAGAGACACACCGCCGTACGGACCTCACACCTGGCTCTCGCAAGCCTTACAAGCCCCAGCAGTGGCTACCCACTGAGGACCCCGTAACTCTTACGGGCGCTTTACGGCAAAATATATGCTAAAAACCTTGCGAATACCCTCTAAGCTGCTAAGCGCGAAGCCGCGGGATCCCCGTTTAGGGATTCTTACGCGTCTCCGCACCTAGCAGCCTCCCGGCCTAGCCGGGGCTCCACGGCAGGGGTCTCCCGGGGTATCGCGGGGACCCCGCAGACGTGCGCAGAATGGCCCGCGCGTGGGGGCTGAGTACGCAGCCTAGTGCCCACCGTACCGCCCCCCGTCCGCTGCGGAGGACTACTTGGGCGTGCCCGTGTAGCTCCCTCCGCCGCCCCCCTCTTTGCAGGACAGAACTACAAGGGGGGGCTGCCGTCACGGGGTCCGTTGGTGGCCGGCACAGCTGACGCCTAGTCCGAAATGTCCTTCAAAGGAGATTGCTCAGCTTCCATACATGTTTGGCCGAAAGACCAATAATCATGAAAAATTGTTTCCTAGATTCGAAATTATATATAAATTACTGTAGAAACGAACATTATTGACGGACACCCCTCAGAACTTCTATAAACCATATACACTGAACATATTAAAATAATAAAAAATAAATAAGTTATATAGTAAACTAGGGAAATCAAGCCAAATACCGAAATTATGGATTAGATTCAGGTATATAGAGCATGTAGATTAACAGATAGTTGCCTGTTTTTAAAGTTAATGCATAAGAGTAACTTTTAAAATCAGGTGTCATTTCCGGTTATAATAAGGTAGGTACTCTGTGACAGAAACTGTGTGATGATTGTGAATGAGCCACAGATTAGAGAGAATTTTTAAACTCTCGTTAACCAAAGAAAGCTAAGAGATTTAGGTTCTATAGCCATATATTCAGTAGCTTCATTATTTTTGTTATGTTTTTAAGATAACCATATTTTAGATTTTTAGTGTATCACACCTTATAATTTTATTTATTTATTAATTTATAGTCAGGGAACGTCGGCCCATAGATAGATACCTTAACGTCTAACATATATACAGATTATAATGTGTTTATGGAGGTGTTTGGCGAAAAATGTATGGCAATAGACTTTATGATGTCGCCTACCATCTATAATAGTTGTCTGAGCACATTTGCATCTAGTGAAAATGATAATATAGTTGTGGATATTAATACCACAGTGTAATAAAAAAAATATATTTTATCGATCTTTACAAGATAGATTTGTTTTTATGTTATATAAACAACTTCGATCAGTCTTTGGCTGAATTTTACTACACCCATAGCCATAAAAATGATTCGTATGTTTTCCAAACCGGTAAAATTAAAAGTCCTTTTTAAAGTAAATATATTATACAAAGGTGTCCGTTGAAATCTAATGACTGTAAATCAAATTATAAATTACGCCAAGAATTACCATGTATGTCAATATTTTTTGTGCGTTTAGGCCAATTTGAGCAATCTCCATTGTCAACTGATTTTTAGTTCTCGTTTCGTACTTTGTGGCGCTGCTGTTCAAGTTCCCATACAAAATTGAATAATGACATTTCGGACTCGCAAACTATTCGAATTCGATATTTGTTCGTGCTAGGGGTACTGGATTGATACATAGGATACGTTTTATCGTGGTCGAGTGGTATATACCGGGTTTCGAGGTGTCGCCGACTCGAGAGGTCCCGGGTTCGAATCCCGGCGGGGGCAGATGTTTGTGTGATGAATGAATGAATGAAATGAAATATACGAGCTAAGAGCGAATACGAGCATTTGTACTCCAGTCATAGATGTTTAATATGTATTTCTATATAAAATACTTGTATTTGTACAGTATATGTATTCTATCGGTTACCCTAGCATCCCATAACACAAGCCTTACAGTGCTTACTTTGGGTCTAGGCTAATGAGGGCTATCGCGTATGAAT